TTTCACATATTTTCTGGGGAATCGCCGATGAATTGTGTCTGTGTGTTTCTTTCCCTCCGGAGACCCCTCACGCGAACCGTGCCCCAGACGAAGCTCCACCCATGGCTCCAGTGGGCACCTTCGCATGGCGTGCCCCCGGGTAACGTCGCCACATGCCTCGCACGGGTCGTGCAAGGAGGAGGTTCACCCGTGGCCTCCATTGGGGCGTTCGCGCGAGGGTACTCCAGATTTCGTAATAAAGGGAGGGGGGTCTCATTTCGGGGGGGTCTCTTCCAGGCTATCTTGGAGGGCCTGGGGGGGTCTGGGGACGATGTTTTGTTGGAGGGTTTTCCCACGGGGGGAGGGTCTGAAATGGCTTGTCTTGGAGGGTCCAGACCCCCTCCCTTTTATTACGAGATCTGGAGTATCCACATGATTCGGCACACCCTTCACGCGGATCGTGCCCTGCAGCAAAGCCAGGAGTGCAACCCACCCGCGACCTCTTAAGGAGCGATCTCGAGACCTCCGCAGCCCCAGCGGAGGCGAGGAGAGGAACAGACCAGACATCTCCCCTGGGCCTTTGAAAGCTTTTGCCTGGCCAGGCGCGCTCTCGAGTCTCCTGCGGCCCTCTGGGGCTGTCTGGAACGTCTCCTGAGGCGTCTTGAGGCTCTCTTGGGCCGCCTGAAGTCCCTGGAGGCCGTCTTGGGGGCGATTCAGGACCTCCCCATGAGAGAGCGAATCCCCCGGCTCCCCCATATGACATCGGGATCGTGGACCCAGCGTGGTCCGAGCGTGGTTGCGTGGTTCGGGGCGTGGTCCGGCGTTTTCAAAATCAGTGTTCCCTCGAGACATCCCCGCAACATTGGCTTCGTATGCTATGCTGAAACTCCAAGAACAGCCATTTCGCTAGGGGCAGCCTGAACAATAAAACGTGCTTCGGGTGGCGACAATCAAATCGCCCTTCGGGGCGACTTGCCCCCCCCCCAAATGCGCGCCTGGCCCCTGGCACTCACATTTGTGGTCGAGGTCGTGGCCCCCGGGCCCAGTTCGCCGTGGCATGTATATATATATATATGCATATACATATGTATACATATATATATAGTTATATTCATATACACACATATATGAATATAACTATTTAAGTATATGTACGTACGTATGTATGTATGTGTGTATGTATGCATGCATGCATGCATGTATGTATGTATGTATGTAGAATGTATGTGTATATATACATATAACCGAGAAGGGTCTTTAATCCACCCCCGGGCAATAACGGGGAATTGACCAATTTTGCCGCGGGCTTATTGACGGATTGGGACCCCAACAATAATTGGAACTTAATTATTCTCGGCGGCGGAGGCCTGAAATGGCCAAGGCAACTGATCCAAAATCTTAACGTTCAACGCCAGGCGGCCTGTTCGTCCTCCTCCTCCCCCTCCCCCCTCCTCCTCCTCGACACGCCGCCACCGCAACTGCAGCACACGTGCGAACATGCATCGCGGAGGCCTGATACGACAAGAACATGCTCACACATTCATTCGTTCAGCAATATTGAGCACGGCCGACAATAGTGGGAAAACAATACCCGCGCGACGGCGACGGCGGCGGCGATGACGACGATGACGACGAAGACGAACCGAGCAGCCGATTGGATACGCAACGACTCATGTTGCAAGCCTTGTGCGAACATGCTGGAAATCCCTCCCGCGTGCACAGTAGCCCAGGAAGCGTTGCCAACTAGGAGAAATAACGGCCCAACAATATCCAGTCGACAACAGTGGGAACATAATACCCGCTCGGGGACTACGACGACGAAAGCGATGACGACGGCGTCGACGCTGACGACGACGGAAACGACGACGACGACAACGACGACGACGACGATGGCGCCGAAGACGACGACGAAGTCGACTCGAGGAAGCCATTGGAGACGCAACGACTTTCATTGCAAGCCTTCGACGAACACGCTCGCAATATCCCCCGCGTGCACAGTAGCCCGCGGGGCATTGTCCACTGGGAGAAAGAACCACCCTGCAATAATCACCACGGCCGACAACATTGGGAAAATAATGCGCCCGCGGCGGCGACGACGACGACGACAAAAACGACGACGGCGGCGACGAACGCGACGACGGCAGCGGTGGGGTCTTCACCCACGACCCAGGCACGGCGGTGCAGTGTTTGACACACGACCCACAACGGCGGCGAGGCGTCTGACTCACAACCCAGGCGCGGCGGTCAGGTCTTTCAGCCACAGCCCAGGCACGTCGGTGAGGCTTCGGACCCAGTCCAGGAACGGCGGTGATGCTTCTTGCCCACAGCCCAGGTACGTCGGTGAGGCTTCTGACCCCACAACCCAGGCACGGCGGTGTGGCTTCTGAGCAGGAGGAGGACTGATTGGACAGGACTGCCATCTGGAGTGCCGATGTCGCCTGTACGGTCCAGAATAACTATCGTTGTGATACTCTTCGCCAGGAGCAAGTCGAGGACTCCAAACAGTGTAGCGAACCTGCAACCCACGGCACGGCGAGCGAGAGCATGGATGAGGAATGAGCAAGAATTGTCGTCGTCGTCGTCTCCCGTCGTCGTCGTCCTCGTCGTCGTCCTCTTTCTTCCTCGAGTCTACGAAAAGGGGCCCAGAACAGGGGGTGGAGGAGGAGGAGGAGGAGGAGGAGGAGGAGGAGGGGGAGGAGGAGGAGGGGGAGGGGGAGGAGGAGGAGGAGGGAGGGGAAGGAGGAGGGAGGGGAAGGAGGAGGAGGAGGGACGAGTTTTTATTCCCCGCCGGTAGCTTCGGGGGGGACCATCATTAAAGACCCTTCGCGGTTACATACAATGTCTTTATGTATCTAGCACTACGTATTCTTTCATCCAAACGGCAGGGTCGCAGTACAGTTGGGGCGTTCACCTAAGGAACGAACAATAAGGAACGAGGCCCCTTTTTCCCATACATTAAACTCCGATGTTCCATGGAAAACCTCAGGAAAACCCAAGGAGCACTGTAAAGCAACTAAGGAACACGGAGCCCCTCCCCAACAAAAAGGGTTCCTTCTTCAGGGCCCCGACTGTATGTTTGGCCCACGTTGGCAAGCATCGTTTCTGCTGTGAACATGTGGAGCAGGCCACCACTGGCTTATTGGTCTGCCGCGCTTGCGGTTCCTTTGCTGAGGATGGGCCCGAGAGACTGCTGAGCAAGAGCAGTGTAAGCTCCAACTTCAGTATGCGCAATCGGGCAAGCACCCAACAAGTGCCGCCGGTAGCCCAAAGGCGCTGCAAGTTTCGTCACTCTTGTTTGTTTCCTTGTTGCAACACGCGCAACGTGAGCAAACGTTAGCGTCGGCAGCGGCGCAGTCAGCGACCTGGGCTTAGTGCTCCTCCTCCTCATTATCTTTTTTCGCTTCCTCCTCCTCCTCTTCCCCTTCCTCGCGCCCCCTCCACATCTCCCCTCCTTCCTCTCCACCTCTACTTCCCTTCCAACAATTATGTTATTCCCCATTTCACCCTCCTTCTTTTACTCCGCCGGTCTCCATCCCCTGCTTCCCTTATTCACCTGTTCTCCTCTCCTCTCCACCTCCTCCTCCTCCTGGCCCTCCTCATCCATTTCCTTCCTCTCTCCTTTTCCTCCATCCACTTTTCTTATAAGTAGCTTCTCCCTGTCGCACCCCGAGTCCAGTCGGAAGGGCGGGCCTGGCGTTTCGCCTGACACTTCCTTGCCATTTATGATCCTGAAGCTTAAACAATGGCAACAATTGCATTCATGGGGGACTGGTCACTTCACAAGTGTGGCTCTCGCCTCAGCGCCGCGCACATTCGTCTTAAACAAGTGCAGAAGTTTCACGGATCGAGGGCGGGCGGTTAAAAAACATGTGGCTCTCGCGTCAGAGCCGCGCACATAGATCATAACGCGTTGCAGGGTTTCAGCGGATTGAGGCGGTTCCTTTTCAAAATGTGGCTCTCGCCTTAGCGTTGAGCACATTCGTTTTAAGCGTTGCAAGAATTTCATGTGTTCCCATGGTTGGCGTAAGAGAAAGGTTTTTTGTTGGAAGAATTCCAGATTGTCAGGGCGCAACAATTACGTTTGATTCGCGGTGCTGAAGACCCAAGAGCGGCGTTCTGGCACGATTCAGGATCGTCAAGACGCAACCGTCAAATTGATTCGTGGCGTTGAAGTTCCGAGAATGGTGCTTCCGCGTGCTCCAGGATCTTCAAATCGTTGTATCCCATCGGCGCACTTCCCTCAGTGGAGATGAATTATTGTGGGAGCCTGTGAAAAAGGGAGCTTGGAGGGAAGGTTTCTTCCAACATTGTTGAATCTTGGGTCTGCACTGGTCCTCCTCCTTCTCTTCATCGACCCCCGACTCCTCCCCTGGGAGGAGGGGAACGAGAGAGGAGGAGCGGGGGCGGAGTGGAGGAGGAGGAAGGGAAACGACCGCCCCAAGACGGCCTTAATACCCGTGAGGCCCCACACATGCTCCTGACATAGGCCCCCGGCAGGGTCCGAAGAAGCCCAAACAAGCTCCTGAGCAAGCCGTGGAGACGCCGAGCACGCTTTGTTCTGTTCCATGCCACAAATGTAAACTGACGTACGCACCGCCCTTGTTGACCCAACGCTGGGCCCGGAAGGCCGACACAGACAGCTCCCGAGGGTTCGAGAAGGCTCTGAGGAGAACCTCGAGACGGCCTCGGGATCTCCTCCAGGCTGCCCCAAGAGGGCTCCAGGACTCGGCCCAGAGAGACCAAAACTCCCCGAGACTTGCCATACGGCCACAAGACCCGCTAGAACGGACGGCCCAAAGATGCCCCAAGGCCAAGCAGGTCCCATCAAGCGCTCCCGATGGGCCCCGAAGAGGCCCCTGAGAAGCCAACGCCACTGAGAGACACATTTTAGCTTCGTTCCCTCAGGGAACACCCGAATCTATTTACGCGAAGTCTCCATGACGTCCTCAGCCTTCAATCGGCCTCCTCGTGCATCGAACATCGGGGAGACGCTGGTGACGCCGCCGCAGGCATTCTCCATCATATTGGAACGTCGACGACGAGTACTGCGAATGCACATGGACTTGCTGCACCTGTAAAACCGTTTGCGTCGCGTCTGTGCTGTGCTGGTTGTGACTGCCCGCGACGATGGAGAAATAGCTGCCGCTCTCCACGCAGTGGGCAGCCGTGAGCACCCAGCTCGGCGCGATGAGTGTGCCACCGCAGAAGTGCCACGAACCGGACGCTAGGGAGACCTGCCACCTCCACTCGCACGCTGTGGCCGCCTGACCGCCCACGACACGCGCCTGGTCTGTGCCTGCTGGCCACGGGGTGTCGTCAGCACCCTTTCTGCCGCACAGTGGTGCTGGCGTCGGTGGCGGAGCTGGCGTCGGTGGCGGAGGTGGCGTGGGGGGCGGGGCGGGACTCGGCGGCGCGAACCTCTCCACCAAAGAGCGCACGGCCTCGAACATCTCCCGGCATGCTGGGAGGATCTCGGAAGTGGAGGGCCGGAAGCCGCTGCCGTCGAACAGGTCGGGCGGGAGCTCGATCGTGTAGCCGTAGGCGCCCAATTCTGTGGAGTGGTCTGGCATGATGCCGGAAGAGAGGTAGAGCTGTCCACCCGCATCACCTGTACCGTAGATGTACGACTTGCCGTTGATACTCGCGATGGCGCTCTGCATCATTAATCCAATGGTATCAATGGTGGCCTTGTCGGCATGATCGGTGTTCGTGAAACCCCATGGCCCCAGGATCATCTCCCCATATGAGTGGACATCCAGGTGGACGCTCACGGGAGCCTCCTCCAACAACGCTTTCAGCGCCAACGTCTCAGACTCTGAGTGTGCCGAAGGGCCAACATAGGTGTCGGAGCATTTCCAGGTCGAAGTAGACTGACCCCCGTTCCAATCCTTGCCCCAATTCCGATTCAGGTCAACGCCCAAGCAAGAGGAGTCGTCGAAGCTTCTCCTGTTCTTGCGCCACATGGCGTCTGTGGTCTGCGAGTAAACGAACCCGTCTGGGTTCGAGACGGGCACAACGACGAGCTCCATCCCGGCCAGCCATGTCGGATCGCTTGCCTTCTGCGTGATGGAGTACTCCACCAGGTAGGTGCCAACCATTGCGGCGACCTGAGGGCAACCGAAAGAGTCGGGGATGGACAGACCCCCCTTTAGCAAAACGTGGTTTAGTGAAAACGACCTGAGGCCCAAACCTGGCGGGCGCAAGCCTGGAAAATAACGGCCACGGCGCCCTCTCGAGAACCGAAAACGGACAATTCACTAATCGACGTGTCACTGTTGGGGGTTCTGTCCACCCCCGAGAAGTGAGGAGTCCTGGCTCCGAAGAGGCCCCGCTAGGGGGCAGGACGCCGACAAAAGCAGCGCTGGCGCCATCCTTCGATTCATCGCTCGACAAACTCTGCGTGCGCCGCCCACTCGTTGCGATTCCCTGCTGCGCGGGCCCACTGCCGCAACCCCGCCTGCGTCGCATAGCGTCGTCATGTGTCCTCCCATCTCGTCCGGCGGTCTGGATGGCCGCTTTTCCCGGGTGCTCTCGTCGCGCATGGCCTCCGTCCAACCACTGCCTCTCCAGAAGGTCTCCAGAAGTGGGGGGCCTGGCTCAGAAGGGGGGAGGCATCGACCTGGAGCATCGACGGCGCCTCGCCCACAGATCTGCGACAGGCCCCCGAGGGGGGACCCCACCGCCCCTGGGCAGCGTAAGGCACCCATGCCGTGGTCGGCGTGCACAGGGCGATCGGGGCCGGTGCTCCCCTGGCCCCCCACCGATCCCCCGATGGCCGTCGGGCCGCTCTGTTTTTTGGGCTTTCTCGGGTCGTGGCTCGGGCCTCGGGCGGCCGTTCGGGGCGATCTGGGGCACCCCGGAACGCCCTCGGCACGGCGCAGTCGCGGGAATAGGGGAACAAACAGTGACGTAAACATAACACCTCGGAGGTCCGCGCGGATTTCTCGGATCGGCGCTGGACCCCCATCCCTCGCGCGCGGAGCGCGCCAGGGGCGGCGCCGGAGGCGCCGCCGGGGGGCCCCAGCGCCGATCTGAGAAATCCGCGCGGACCTCCGAGTTTTTCTGCTTACGTCACTTTTTGTTCCCCTAGTTAGGGAAGGCATCCTGAGGCTGGAGAGACGCCCGAAAGCCTTGGATCTCGAAGCCCCCGTGGGCACATTGCCCACGTCGTGATCTTGTTCGATCCGCGGCCCCAGAGGTCTCGCTCACTGCTCCACCGCAAATCCATGCGTGATGGCCACGGGGCAAGAACAGGGCCCTGTGGGAGGTCGAAATGGCAGAGAAACGCCGGGACCGAACAGGAATCGTATCTTCGGCAGTCGCCCCCAAGGACATGTCCCGGGGGGGCGTTCCGACTAGAATTTCGCTGTGGATCCAGCCGTGGCCACGAGGGCGCCCCAGAAGAATGAAGAAACGCCACATAGCAAAACTTCGAGTAGGGGATCGACTGCAGAATTGATTGACCCTAAAACTGATTTTCTCGTCGAACGCAGGAGAAGCGTAGGATCGTCAGTAGATCTACGGAGCATTCTGAGCACGTTTCGTAGATTCGACGGGAGATCCATTTGGGGGTAAATCGCTTCTGTCGTCGATCCCCCCTTCGAAGACTCGAAACTCGAAGCGCGCGGCCCACCCCGTCAACGTCGAGACGGGGAGCCGGATCGAATCGGAATGTGCGTCGGATCGGGCCGCGTCGGCCTGGACCCGCAATCGGATCGGATCGGCTGCGCCAGGATTCAGAACCGCTCCATGTAAGCCTCGGCCCGCCCGCGGACCGCTCGAGCGTCGAAATCGAATCGGATCGAACTGGCCCAACTCGATGTCGGATCGGTTCGATCGGATCGAAGTGGGTCCTGCCCTGACGACCCACTCGCGGGCGTGCAGCAGCGCGTTGACCACCACCCTCGGCGCGCCCTGAGACCACGCGGCGTCGCGGAGGCGTACGGCGTGGATGGCGCGACCCTCGTGGGTGGCGGGGGACAGCTGCTCCAGGGTGACCGTGCCCGTCGTGTCGTTGGCGACGACGTCCTTCGGGTCCGATGAAAACCAGGGTCAGCCGACGCCGCATCGGGGCGTCTCCGCGGATCAGACTGTGCGTCGGAGCGGGCCGCAACGGCACGGAAACGGACTCGAACCGGATCGGTTGCGCCAGAATGCGCAACAACGCCATGCAAGCATCGGCGCCGCATCCGGTACTCCAGACTTCGTAATAAAAGGGAGGGGGTCTGGACCCTCCAAGACAAGCCATTTCAGACCCCCCCCGTGGGAGAACCCTCCAAAACATCGTCCCCAGACCCCCCCAGGCCCTCCAAGATAGCTTGGAAAAGACCCCCCCCGAAATGAGACCCCCTCCCTTTATTACGAAATCTGGGGTAACCGAATCGGATCGAGCCGGCCGGAATCGCAATCGAATCGGAGCGATCGGATCGGAAGGGGCCCTGTTACATTTTTTTGTTGTTTTACGTTTTGGCTTGATTTTTGGTTGCGAAGCAGCACGGGTGACTCAGCCGCATCGCGAACCGCAGCCGTAGGGTATACCTAGGCACAGTTGCCCTAAATCTAGCCGCGAAAACACTCCACTGGTATCCACGCACAGCGTAATGCTCGATCGAATCCTCGCCGTCGCAATCCTTGCAAAACCTGCAGCGACCGGCCGTGTCCTGAAAACGTCGTTGCGTGCACCAACCGTTGCACCACGTGCTGACCAAACAAAACAAAACACAAGGAGACACGCAATTTCGAAGAGCCGATCACGTCGTAACGGCGCTGGTTGCCAATTCCTTCATGTCGTCCTCATCGAACCACCATCCCAGCTCCCGCCCGAGCTCAATCACTGGGTCGAAATGATGCATGGTGGGCAGCACAAATGTGTATATCAGCTGTGTGAAGTCATTGGTTCTTGCGCCAAGGTCGTCAAGATGTAGGCCGTGCGTATTCTTGAACCTTTCCAAGTCAAACGAATCAAAACGATCCTTCAACTGAATGAGAGCGCATTGCCTCTTCCAGTCACTTCGCGGGTGCACGAGTACTGCTTCTGGCTCTCCCTCTGCGTCTTGTAGGACATGGGCGTCGCGTCGCCAGTCGCAAGTAAAAATGGGGCATGCTTTGGTCATCGTTGACAAACATATCGTGTCCATTGCCTTGAACGAGATTGGAAACCCACGCGCTTCCCGAATATGGTAGAACATATGCATTGGCACCCACAGCCCAGGGCCTCCGGTGACAGACCTGACTGCGCCCAGTTCTGCGCGTCGAATTGTTCTCGGCGGCGCCCTAAGTTGCGACAGACATAGAAGTTTGGCTGTCCCCATCATCTGAAATACTGGAACGGCGTGGACCTTCGGGAGGTTCAACGACTTGACCAGACTGGCGATCTGCAGAATGCCCTCGGCGACTCCGTCCCACTCTCGATTCTCAGCTCCAGGCCCCACCAAAAAACCCAACTATCCCCCATCAGACCGAACCGAAAAAAACACGCCAAGCCGGAATGCTTTGCCCCAACTGCACCTGTATTGCGGCCGCGTCGTAGTTCATCCACAAAGGTACTACAACGCACTTCCTGCCATTCAAAAGCAACCTCGACATCCGACCGATGCGTTCCGACATGCCGCACACAGTTGGCCCAGAGCTCCACACATCGCACAATGCCAAAATAATTTCATCTGCGTGTCCTCGATCACGCGGCCCAGTAGCTCACTCCAGCGCCCTCATGAAGCAGTCGGTCACCATGACGAAAACCGTAGAGCTCAGCGGACACCCTTGGCGGACCTCAGAAGCAGCTACACATACATATCGCAAGCCAGCGCGCCCCTTCTTGAAATGAATGTTGTCGACGTAAAGAGCTGGTATGGCGCGGATGATGCGCTCTGGTACCTTAGTCGCCTTGAGCGCTATCCACATGAAAGCCCTGGCAATAGAGGGGAAAGCGGCGGCGAAATCGACGAAAATCACAGCGGACTTGCTATCCTTGAATTGCGCCTTTGCCATCGCGTGCGTTTCCGCGTCCATGACATTGGTAATCATGTGTCTCCATTGTATAAAACCACGCTGGCTGATGCT